GATTGATAGTTTGTATTCCAGCCTGATGGGAAAGCAGACACCAGCCTGTGTTGAGAGGTTTTGTCAGATAGAAAAGCAAATACAGTAGAAATAATTAACAATAATCAACACTAGACGCACACTAAATTCATTACATCTCTGTGTTGTGTCTACATCCATCCCAGTCAATCACCTTTTTCCTTTTTCCTTTTTTTTTTTTTTTTTGATTTGGTCTGATTTGAAACAAATCATGTGATATATGCACGACAGACATAAAAAAACATACTGAATCAATATGCTGCTTTAGAGGTTAACATACATTAGCTATAAAATAAAACCTAAGCCACACATTTATAAAAGCATTCAGACATCCTGCCAGCGACGCCCTCAGTCACTCTCCTGTTTAGTTACACAGAAAATGCTTCTTTGCTTGTACATAATATTCCACTCAGCCTATACTACTCATATTAGGTAACTACCTTACAGAGCACAGGGCTTAAGACTATTCACTCCAGTCACTGAACAACATGTGTTGTCAGAGAGTCAAAGGTAGAAGCAGAGGTTACAGCAGTACAATACTTCTCAGTGGAAAAGCCCATCAGCTGTGTTCGCTCAAACATCCTGCAAAGCAATAAGTGGAGATGCTAAAAATATTCTTGGATCCTCTCAGTTTTATGTCTGCGTGAGCATTTAAGAGCGTGTTAGTGTTTAATGCTGACTAAAGAATTGCTAATCGTCCTAAACGCCTTAGGTTACATCACAATGGCACTAACAGTAGTAAACATGGTTTCCATTGCTGGCAGGCTTCAGACACCTTTTGCTGAGCCTGGGTGGCTTTAAAGGTGGCTCTCTTCTGTCAGTCTGCAGCGCTCCACCGATGCGCCGTCTCGCTCCTCCGATGTGAAAGCTGAGACCGCAGTGGAGGGAGGATAACATACAATATTCATCACGAAGAGTGGCCAACATCTGTTGCATTTTCCTGTGTGTTTGTGTCTGTGCTTGCTCGGGTGTGTGGACGTGGGCACCAGCAGTAAAGGCGGTCAGTGACCGCTAACGTGGGTTAGCATCATATCCTTGCAGGCTCTATTTCCTTGTCCTCCAACAGGATGATGAACTGACCAAAACTCCCCTTCACCGCCTCCATATTGTCAGTGGTGCTGCCCTCCAGGATCCAACGCTTTCCTCGTGCCAGCGGCTCAAGCTCAAAGTATTTCTTTATCTGCAGAGGGGAAAAAAACAAAACATTAAAATAAATAAATAGCTCATGTTTTTATTATCTTTTCAAAGACAGAATAATGTTTATGTTTTATGTGTTCAGAGGGAAAACTATAAAAAAGCTGTTTGGTGTAGTGGTTTAAAGTCTTTCTCATCAAACCTTAATACTTTTACAGACTTAAATTTTAAGAATTAACATTTTACTTGTTTAAAAAATATAAAAAACTAAATTACACCCTTAAATCTATTGTCAACATTTCTATTGTGGGCAGTAATTTAACTTGTAGAAATAGAGCAGAGACCTGTAGAGACCAACAAAAGGAAGGAAGGAAGGAAGGAAGGAAGGAAGGAAGGAAGGAAGGAAGGAAGGAAGGAAGGAAGGAAGGAAGGAAGGAAGGGAAAATAATTGCTAGGAAAAAAAAGAGAAAGAAAGATAGAAACAAAAGAATCCGGATGATGATGGTTAATAATTTTCCATTTCGAGACTGTCTAAGAACTCTGCAAGGCACCAAATTTAGTGCTTAGATTTTCCTCCTCCATATTTCACCTGTTAAAATCACAAGATACAAGATTCCAGTCATATTTTATTAACGTTTAGACTTGATAAGACTTAAAGGTGGATTTAGATCGGTTTGAATTTGACAGCCCTGTTTTGACAATGGCATAAGCCAACAGAAAAGCCATCAGAAAAAAAAAGAAACAGTTTAACCGATGAGGACTAAATGAAACTAAGCAACAGCTTCATGTGGAAAATATTTGCCGTGTTGGCTTGGCACTGCCTTGTACAATTGTTGATTATAAGGTTCAGCTGGCTTACGCAGCTCTAGCACTCCAGAACCAGCTGTTTGGTAAAAACAAATCTCAGGCAGCAGAAACAGCTTTCCAGATCTCAACTGATTGTCCTGTAAGTTGTTAGTAAATTGGACAACTTGAAGCTGAGTGTAAAGTAAGGTTTTGCTTAAACTTTCCCCTCCTGTTTGCTTGATGACCGGTGACAAATGTGCAAGGAAGAATCTCCAATTGATTTAATAGATAGCAGATCCAGTAATAGGATGTCAGTCAGAGATTATTCAATTAAGCAGCATTCAACGGTGAGTTGAAAAGGTTTGTCAATGCTGCTCGTGTAACAAAGTAATGACTCCCAGTGTTGTCCACAAACTGTTTAATAAGTGCCAACAGTGGTCCGTGAGTCTTTAGAATTGCTGTGGATGAAGTTACTGGGGTTATTGATGGCATGATTCAGGTAATTCCACAGCAACCACAGACCTGAGCCAGTCAGAGGTGAACTTGATGGTGTGGTTTGGATCATTGTTTGGCTGCATAACAACAAGCGCACTTGAGCACAAGGTCACATTCTTCAGGATTTTTTGGTAGAGAGCAGAATTCACAAGTACATGAATGGCGGCACATTGCTGGGATGGCAACCTAAAAATAATCAGACCACATTAGATGTGTTGTTGCCACTGTTCTATGTTTGTTTGTTTGCCATGCTGTGTTAGTATGACCATAGATGCAATCGGTAAAAGCAAACCCTTTTTCTCACCAGTCAAAGTAATATTGCCCATTCAGATGCTTTTTGTGGTAAATATAGGTAGATATAGGAAAATAGACCTTTTTGCTTTTTATTCAGCAGTATTTAGATTTCTTTCAGGGATCTTTTTAATTGTTAAAATAAAAACCTCACCTGACTCAGGGTAACTAATGCCTGGATGAGTTTTCAGCTCCTTCTTGAAGAAATGATGGTACAGTAGGTTATCTAGTCCTGGGAGGGTTCATCACTGCGTCCTGATGTCCCCATTTGAAGAAAATTTCTCTTTTTAATTACGCTCTTTTTGTTTTTAGGACATGGTGTGTTGTTTTTTATAAACACGTTTTGGCCAACTTAATTTTGTAATGCTGGGTAAGTTCAGTCAGTTTTTTTGTTTGCTGTTTTTCTACGTACAGGTCTCATGATATTAGGGGCCAAGTGTGGCAAAGCCTTTGAACTTCAACCTTAAAAAAAATTGTTACTAAGCACAACAAAATCAAAATTAAGGGAGACATTACATTCCACATTGCGTCAGGTTGTTGATTTTTTATTTTTTATTTTACTCAAGGCTGTATTTGTTTAATATTAAACTTGTCTTAAAAACCTGAAATTGTTTAAAATGCTATTACATCCAAGCTAAATATATTTATTTAGTAAATATATTTATTTTTTATATTTCTAAAAAACATTCTTAAGATTTTAATGAACTAAATAATTTTAAGCCAGTAGGTCAGTATCTGATGCAGACCGACATCACAGCCTTGCAGGTTGTGTCCTGACTTTAACCGGTCTATTGATCCTTGGTGGTGGGTGTTTCCATCACATAAAAAGCACTGAATTATTTTGCTGAAACAAAAAATATTGAAACCAACAAATCCTATCAGTGTATTCCTCAAAAGTTCTGATGGAAAAAAGCCCTGAATGAACATTAATACACATCCAAGACATGAATCTGACTCCACTTAGTCTCTGTGTAGAATTTTCAGTTATTTAAAAGTATTCTAAATCTAAATCCTGTCTTTTAAATAGAAAAAAAAATTAGCGTTTGTATAATGTTAGATATTGTCTTACATTATATTTTAAAATGAAGACGAAGCATTTTGACAGCAGATGCATAAAAAACAGATGTATAACTTCCAACAGAATACACTAAAGACCAGGAAACCCACATGGACACCCATCACACAGCCAAATGACTTTTCAACTTCAAGTGAAATTGCTTTTGTCTAGACTGTGCAGTGCTGTCTAGCTGTGCCATGGTGTGTGGCATGAAGAGGATGGGAAGGAGGAGGAAGGGGGATGTATTCTTTGTGTCTGCCTAAACCCAGCCAGCCGTGCCAGCGAGTGGGAGAGTGAGTGCCGTCTCTGCCCCCCTGAGCAGAGTCTGTGTTCTGGTGTAATGTGAGTTTAATGACAGATTAAGTCACCTCAGCCGCGTTTGGCTCAGAAGCCTGGCTAGAAAGCTGAGTGGACCCAAACAGTGTTAACAAATCTGTCTGGGTAACTTGAGCTGCCCTAGTCCAGGCTGTAGCCCCAGACCTAGACTGCAGACGATGTGCCTGGCTGCCTGTCTGGCTGGCTGGTTGACTCGCCTGCCTGTAGCCAAGGCCCTCTTCTGGAAGACACTGGCCCCTGCACTGGCAGACAGTCAAAAGGCCAAAAGTGACCTCTGTGCAAGTGTAGACAGGCTTGGGCTTCTCTCACTTCCCCTACTGGCCTCATGGGCCAGCTGAACATACCAGGAAGCATCTACCAGCCTCATATAAAAAACATAATTCATGCAACTTATGAAATTATTGTCTTAAATAACTTTAGTTAATGTTAACTGACAATGACTTTAAAAGGGCTAGCTTCAATAAGAACCTGGAGATTTAACTCCAACAACAGACGGAGAGGGCCTGCTGTTGAAAACAAGTGTCAGTTTTTACATGCCTAAGGAACCCCATGACCTAACAGCCTGTGTGTATGCACTCTGAAAGTCAACAAGTGTGGCCAAAACCAGTTTCCTTGAGATTAAGTCCTCCTAAGCACACTTATGCTTGCTTAAGGAATTGCGTGAGGCAGTGGGATGGGTAAGCCAAACAAGACGTGGGTTGCCAGATGGCTGTGAGGATGACCACTGGGTCATCCACTCTAGCTTCTTCTAGGTCATTCAGTCCAGGGGCCTCACAATGTACATAGGGGAAAGAAGCTTATGCATAAATAAGAATAGAAAAGTATCTGATAACACAGAAATCAGACCAAAGAAAATATAATAGATAATGCAAGATCAACAACTTTAGCCAAGATGAAAGTTTTGCACCTGCCAAACCTTGGAGATTAGATATGGCGTGGTTCTGTTTTTTTTCTTCTCTTCAACATCACAAGATCAAGTAACTTAAGCATTTCAATAAAGAAAAAAAAAGTTTATTTACACTTTAACACCTGGTATGGATGGAGACTTCAAGTAAATTTCACTACACACTCTGACTTTAAAGGAGGAGGTTGAGGTGCTAGGCAACTTTGCAAAGTATGTCAAGTTATCTAAATCTGTCTCCAGGGAATCTGTAAGACAGCAACTGAAATAAACTTGGCTTAGGAGTCTGTCAACTTGCTCTACAAGCATTTAAAGCTGTCATCATAAATTTTACAAGTGGATTAAAATAACCTACCCAGAAATGACCACGATAGAATGCGGTATCGTGAAAAATGTCATTAGATATTTATCATTTAATTTGAAAATTTTTGACCCAGTAGCAACATGGTTAGTCAGCTAAGCTTAAGCTTCAACTCTGGCAGGAATACCTCAGGCTACTTAAGATGGCAATGGGGCATGCATGGCACGTGCTTCCAGTAGCTCCATGACTTATGCCAGATTACTTCATGTAATGGCCACAGTTGGCATCGTGCCAAGTCAAGAGGATATCGTGGCAGAATTAAAAGAGCTTTAATGGCTCTCGACAGAGCTTTGTTCTGGCCTCCTGATCAACTAAACTAACCAGAGACAGGAGCCTTAAAAAGGTCTAAAGAATCAAGAGACTCATTTATAGACCAGGCAAAATGGACTCCACTAACAGATATACTACACCTTTCTCTATTGGGGTAAAATAGAGCTTCTTCAAAAGGTGAACCTCTACATTTACCGGTCCTTCTTAGGTTTGACCGTCACCTACAATCATGACTTAATAAATGGCTGAAACAAACTTCCACTGGTGACCAGCCTAAGCTTCGGAGATAAAAACAGCCGCTTGCTTCATTTCAAAATGGGTTGTTTGAGGAGATTGATCAGTTTGCCTCCTCAATACCTTCCTTCTGAGGTTTCCCAGGCACTTCACACTAAGAGGGGACCCCTTTGGTCTGGGAAAGCCTGGTATTAATGAGCTAGAGATTTTAACTAAAAAGAGAGCGGTCTTAATTACTCCCTAAAAAATGTTCAACCTCCATGATTTTAAAATGAATAAGAGGAAAACAATGAAGAGATGGATTGACTAATAAAA